GTCAAAGATGAACAAAATCACCCAGAGAAGAAGAAGAATGGAAGGATAGACAAATGTGTAGATACAATTCTGGGTGAAAACATTGACAGGCAGAGCAAGAAGACAAGGAACCAGAAAGTGTGCCGCCCTAGTGATTGAGATGAGCAACCACTGAAGAAATGTTGGCATGGATCATTAACAGACAATTCCTGGCCAGATGTAGAAAATGAACCAAAACACGACCTACAGTGAGAAGCATCAGGACGATGATGGGATAAAACCTTTCAGCCACAGACTAAAAAACCTGATTCTTCTAGTTGATTAACCCATGCCCCCCCCCCCCATCCCTAAAGGGATGTGTCCATAAAATGTGGAAAACCAGATAAGGAGGAAGCGAAACACATGCCAAAGTACGAGTCACACTTAAACACCAACACCAATCAACAACAAGGGTAGGAGGAAGGGTAATAAGAGCTGAGAAAGGATCCCTGCAAAATTCTACTGGTCATGAAAAGCCCATGAAGAACCTGTATATGAGCCTGGCCTAAGAGGATAAGGACTACCATGGAAGATCACATCCACAAAAGTGATAGATCTTCACAAGCTATAATCAAACTGATAACCCAAAGTCACAGGCAGGCCCGACTAAGATGTGTGTGTAGAAAAACAATAACACCCAAATGAACAAGATATTGGATAAGTTGCAGTAAGGACTTCTCCAACTTCATTAACAGTATATTACAGCCACCTCCAGGAGCAGCTGATAAGGGTAACAGGTAGACTCCTGTTTGGAAGGAGCAAACAGTAGCCAGTAAAGCAAAGAAAGAGCAACCCGAGAGCATACAAGTTACGAACAAATGCTCTGAATGCCCAACAAAATATACAAGGCCAAAGAAAGTCTGAAGAGCAGTGCAAAAAATAGAGAAACCATCCCATGGAGAATATCCACAAAGGGTAACAATATAATACTGTCGACCCAATGGACTAGAACCCTCTGGTTAGTCTCCAGTACTGTTGGCAACATGCCCATCAATGTTGAATAAAATGATGAGATGAGAAACTCCTGGAAGGGGGACAGGGATGAGTAGATAAGGATCATGGCAAAAAAGATATAGGGGCATGTCATGTCTACAACTGCGACAAACATGCAATCAAAGAGGAAAGGGTCAAGTGTTGATGTACAGATTACACACAAGATTCCAAGGTCTCAGATACATGATCCAAAACACAAAGAAAAAAGGAGGTGGCAAACATAACCAGGACAAGGTTGCATCATGATCCAGAAAATCCCAACTTGAGTGAAACCATGTGTAAAGCAAGAGCCGAAGACAACAAATAAGCCAACATGGAGGTAATAAAGAATCATAGAAAAATGGGGAATTGGATAAAACATAAATACTTGAGAAATCATGTAAAAAATGCAGTTTAGGCCTAGCTGGTTCTGCAGGAGGGGTAGGAAAAAATACACCAAAATCTGGTGTTGTAAAAAGGGGTCACCGGTAATTTCATTCCCAGTAACTTGACATCCAATAATTTCACTCCCCATGTCAAAAAATAATTATGAGCATTAAAAGTGATATATTAAAAAAATCAACTTTTAAAATTACATTTATTAAATATTATTAAAAGTGATGCAGGTTATGAGCTATTGCTCATAAAATATTAATCTTGTTATCTGGATTATATCTAGCAAGAAAAACTTGCAGCCATGAAATTACTGGGAGTCAAATTAACGGGAGTGAAAATAACTAGAACAGTAAAATGCTATCAAATCTCCATCTGCCTGAACAGGTTCGGCTTATTCAGGAGGATTAGTGGGGAAAAGTGCAGGAGAAAAAGGTTTACCCATATCACGATGGATAATAGCAGAGAAATCCAATGATGGGTCGCCCCCACCTGCAGCCTGTGAAAATAGTGCTAGAGGTATAACACCTGAAGTGGGAACACTAACCTCAGAATTCATTGTAGAAATACTTAAATCAAACAAAAGTGTTTGATGTAAAATATGCAAATGTGAGAAGATAAAATAAAGACTGAATAAATTAAGTTAAATTAAAAGGTTTCTTCAATGTAAAAAAATAATAAGGAAGAAATCCCACTTTGGAAATTAAACTATTAAAATCAAGATTCACATGAAGAGCACCAAAAGAAAAAACATCTGAATGCGAGTACTGCCAAACAAGAAGTGATAGTTTGGTAGAATTGAATAAAGGGAGTCACATGCATCATGAGAGTATGTCACACTTATTTAGTGGAGGGTTGACACTTGATGATTTGCATGAGAGATGCATTGAAATCAGTCAATTCCAATGGAGAGGAGATAGAAAGCTTATGGCATGCATAAATAAACTTTTTGGTGATGTACAGTATCAGAATACTCTTTTTAATACAGAATAATTCAGCCATGGAATTTTTGCAGAAGAAAGAGTATCAGCACCAAATATCTCAGATTTGAAACCAAACTGGATATGTACTGGAGGCATGAACCATTTATTTATGACTACCAAGCTACTCTGCTGGGCAGCTACAGATGACATACTGTTCAATATAAATACTTCAGCCTGCATTGAATAATCACCTAAATATACCTAAGTATGATGCAGAAGACTCTGTAAGCAGGCATGATATCACATTCATTACGAAATTGGTTGATAATACTACTCATAATGTAGGTTTTAGTGTCACAGTGATCTTTTGTTTGACTCCAGAGCCTTCCAGTGGTTAACAAATACACATCTCCCCCATGCAATTACTTCAGCCCTATCAAGCACCATTATTTATGCTAATTGCTTAAGCTAATATCATGTGATGCTAAACACTCTTTAATTAGGAGAATTTCATAAATTTCAGTAAATTTGTGCTTAAAAGTTGGCAATGAATAATAACTGTCCACCCGTATGATTCTTTTGAAAACTTGAACTAAAAACTGATAATCGAGTTTGCTTGGCCTAACCAATGTTTATGTATGGGCATGTCCTTTTACCCTACAGTTTTGCTGCTCTGAATTAACTGCCTTTAATCCGATTGACAAGAAATTAAAAAGGTCCACTTTTACTCTTAAGTGAAGCTGTAGTAAAAATTTCAGACCAATAACTCACGAATTTTTACATGCGCAAAAATTTTGTTCAAATTTCCTGAACCCTTTTAACATACACATTGTTTTAAAGAAGCATGTTATCTAAACTTGTGGATATAGCTATTTGTTAATTTTCTTCTTAATCATGTATGAATTAGTACCTAAATACAGTATGACTAAAGTAAAAGTTTTCTCCATAACATTTAACAAAAACAAATGGGGTATTTAGTTTTACAGTTTTTGTGTGGATTATTTTACTTAAGAATGACAATAGAAAACATTTTCTTCTAAGAGTCATCCTCCAATCCCAAGAAGAATTCTAAATTGAAATACTACAATCTCTTGCTATAAAAGTAAGAAAACCAGCTCTTAACTGTAAGATAAGTGTGCTGCTACTACTTTAGTTGTGAAAAGTTTAAGAAAGAACAGAATATGAACTTCAATCATTCAAAGTTAGGGAAACTAAAAACCTTGGATATCCTCAACTTCAACAGGATACAATTCACATTTTACATATAAACCCACTCCTCCTCCTATTTTTAGTACTCTGTCGTTATTAAATAACCTATAATCTTGTATTTCAAAGAAATCTCTGTCACCAAAATTGTCTGCATTTAACCATGTTTTAGTTATTTCCATTGTATCAAAATCCTCCATTCCAACTGGTGCTCTAAAGTAATTATTTTATTTCTTATACAATAGTAACAGTTTAGCTTACCCTTAAAGCTAATTCTGTACTTTGTTCCTACACTGCACTTTTCTCTACCTCTTATTTTTTCTGCATTTAATTTATACTGACCATCATTACTAGCTAGTCCTAGTTTAAAGCTGCCCTTACAAGTTACAGCTGAATCAATACAATAGCCTTTGTAAACATGCCAGCTCTTCCCTATTTAAATGTAGACCATCCCTTCCAAAAATCTTCATTTTCCCATAAAACTGATCCCACAAGCCCAATCGGCAATCTGCTTGTCTTTACTAAGTTTAGCATTATACCCTAGTTACCCAGTTATAATTTCACTCCCACAATTAAGTTCTTGATATTAAGTTATGGCCCTTTATCAACCCCTGAACTTATCATTTAGCTCCCCTGCCCTACCCTTACCTACCTTATTAGTACAAGTAGTGAGGATTACATATGAAATGTTCTCTTTTCCTTTCACTCATGAGTTGTTTAAATTAGCCCCTAGGCTAATGTGTCCACAACAAAGACTACTAGTACTAGTAGTACTACTGCTAGGACTAGGACCTTTTTAGATTTACTTCAATTTATCACTCTCACTGTATCAGTTGTGTCCTCCACCCCTATCTCTAGGTGGCATAAAGAAATTGTTTTTTTTCATATTTATTCCACATATTGTACTATCCACATGTCATAACAAATATTCACGAGTAACTATGACTTATGAGTATGACTAAGTTTTTCATTCCCATCCCTATCTTAGTATGTCCCTTTTGCTTTGCTTTCCTCCTATAGTTCCTAATTTACACAAGCTAAAGCTTTTAGTAAAGGCAAAAATCTGTTGCTCATTCCAATTAAATCCAATACTTTTACGTTCTAGCCCTAATTAATACTGATTCTAACTCCATCAAACTTACTCAGTAGTACTACGTAGGGTTAATAAGTATGTCACTTATCACTCAGCCCTACTTCCTGTAGAGCTAGGTCAAGCTATATTCACATGATATAGGCACACTTATACTAATACTAATAACTATAGTCTATAGTATATTGCCCAATATCCAAGTCGTACCATATTACACTTGCAACTTTAATAATTCATATTATTATCAAACATAACTTTTACCTTGACTTAAGACTGTTAAGGTCTAAGCAAATTTTTTTTAAAAACCAGCAACAGAAGTTAGAATAACCCAATAACTGATATAAGTTAGATAGACTCTTAGAGTAGAAGTGGTAGTAGTACTAGAAGAACCAACCAACCTGTTCATCAATATCAATAATATCGTCATCAGATTCCACAGTCCTTAATGTTTCATTATCTACTTCTTGTAGCTCTAAATCAAACACTCCAGCCATTTTTTTATCTACCGTACCATAAAATTGAACAACTTTAATTAACTACATATGGTACCTCAAATGCTTCAGCGTACAGTACAGTTCTGTATACTACAACCACAACGCTTTTCAATACGTGTGAATCACGATCCCGTTTCCTACGTGATAGATTTTTTTTACAATCGCCAAGACTGTTACTTGCAAAAAATGCTCAATACGACATCGACTACTTTTTAACGATAAAATGGGCGGTTACAATAGTAAGGAAATTAGTGACGTCAAAACTGGCGGTATTTTCTTCTTGTATAAATTTTATTATACAGCAAACAATGGTGGTCTTTTCCCAACCTATTACGACCAAGCTATCACAACATAAAAAAATATCTTCATTTAAATCTTTGATTTTTAAAAACAGTAATAATAAACAGAAAAGTATTTTTGAAATTTTCAAGCGACCCAACTTTCAAAAACTGGCTAATGTCAATAAGAAAATAAAATGCATAACAAATTATTATAATAATATTAAGACAAATAAAACACATCCTAATCTAGACGTATTTCACATTTTCTGCCTTGAAGTCTTATTGTTTCATTGATATAACAGTTGTTGTTTTAGCGCAAACCTACATAGCAGTTTATTTGCACCATTGCCATAGCTACGGGTGGGCTGAGTGAGCCACGTCCCGCCTATTCAGCATTCAAACCGACCCAATAAGAGTCTACATGATGGTTCTCACGTCTGAATATGTTATACGTAATACTTTTTTTTTGTAACTCCATGTAACTTGTCTCTAAATGTTTGTAAATTTCCTGCCTGTCCATCGTAATTCTTGGTCAACCCAAAGCTTCATACGTGGTTACGCCATTGATCTGCATTCTCTCCACCCCCCAGATCTCCGTAAAATTACCACTGACCCACCAGAGCACTTAAATGTCAGAAATGCACTTAAAAAGACAAACTACAGTTATGATAAATTTAATTCTTTTCCAGTAAAGTGATTAACTTACAGAATGGATGGGGAGTGCGTGGTTAGCATGCTCAAATTGAGAATCCGAGGAATTATTTTGGCCTTAAAGAATACAGATACTTCTCTTACTAATGTACCATTTTTGTGACCAGTAATAAATATTAAAACTGACAAACTAATATAACATCCTTTGTATATTAAACCGAATATATGAGTATATCTATAAATTTAATTAGACATGCGTTTTTGTGTTCACTATAATTCTTAATTGTAAAGTCCATACCTAAGGCACTTCAGTTGCACAGCGGTATGTCTGCGGACTTACAACGCTAGAATCCGGGTTTCGATACTCGTGGTGGGCAGAGCACAAATAGCCCATTGTGTAGTTTTGTGCGTAACGTCAAACAAACCATATCTAAGCCTATCCTTCAGTTTTAATTCTAGAGTTATTATATGGCATATGTCCATTTGAAAGGTTAATGAGGTGTGTGTGTGTCACAGTTAAAATAATTGTTAATTTCACTTTCCCGTAGCGAGAATAGAATACATCTGTAGTGATATTTATTCAGTGTTCGGTACTAGATAACGACATCCCTGTAAACAGGATAATGAAAGGTTGTGACCATTATTAGACTTTTCGCTTAGATAAAAGTTATTTATATACAACTATCTCGTGAAAATTTGTACCAGTCTGTGTCCACTCCTAGGAACAGGGCAAGCCCATTTCATTAAGACACATATACTAGTACAAGTTGATACAAGTTAGGGGTTCTCTACTATGCTTATGTTATTTGGTTTATGCCTGCACAAGGATCGTATTCCAGTTTTTTAGCGTTATAAGCCCTCGGGAATTGTTTGTTTGTTTTAAATTTCGCGCAAAGCTACACGAGAGCTATCTGCTCTAGCCGTCCCTAATTTAGCGGTGTAAGACTAGAGGGAAGGCAGCTAGTCATCACCACCCACCGCCAACTCTTGCGCTACTCTTTACCAACGAATAGTATGATTGACCGTCACATTATGACGCCCTCACGGCTGAAAGGGCGAGCATGTTTGGTGTGACGGGGATTCGAACCCACGACCCTCAGATTGTGAGTCGAGCGCCCTAACCACCTAGCCATGACGGGCCACCATCAGGGAGGGGGCAAGTCGTTTTTTTTTTTTTTTTTTTTTGTCGAAGACTTTAGGAAACCTCGCAATTAATTCATGATGGGAAAAAACTGAAGTTTAATGATGAAGATTAAGACGGTTTATAAAACATTTTATTTACAAGGTTCGAACATTTCGGAATAACTTATTCGAAATAATCTGAAAATTATGTTACAAAGATGATTATTACTAAAATTATAATATAATAACATAATCATTAGTTTACTTAGTTATCAAGAAAACGGTAAAAGTACAGACGAAACAATGTTTATATATATTACACAACAGCTGAGTTAAGTGTGAAAATGTAAAACAATTTTAGATCTAAAGAGCTTTGTGAGTCGTTAAGGGTCGGGCGGTCTTTAACTAAGAGTAGACTTTCTTTAATTTAGAGGTCAAGATCTGAAAATCCTGTGGTGATGATAGAGAAATTGTTAAATGAAATATTGTGATCTGTGGTTTCAGAATGTGGGCAAATGGATGAGTGGCTGGGTTTAAGTAGTGGATGGTTGATTCTGTTAGATACTCCTAAATGTTCACAGATTCTATTTTTTAAGTGGCGTTTCGTTTTGCCAATGTACGTGACTTTACAGTCACTACACAAGCCATGAACATAGAAGTTTAGGTACTTAATCTTTGTACTGAAAGAAGTGTTTAATACGAAGGCTAGGTCTGTATATTATTCTAAGCTGAATTTGAGGGTAGAAGTATTTTATTACGGAAGAGAGTTGTTTTTTAACTGGTAAAGATTGCGAACCCATAAAAGGAAAGAAGATAATGAGGGGAAATTTGGGGTCGGTGTGTACATTGGCTGGTGGCTGGAATTTGTTGTTTAGGAAATTGCGTGTAATCTTCGTTAGAAAATCAGTCAGATAGCCATTATTTAACATGAGTTTATGTAGAAGGGTAATTTTCTTCGTGTAAAATAAAATAATTAGAACAAAGATTAAAAATTATGTTTAACAATGATATAACCAGCTTACGTTTGAAGAAGTTAGGGATAAAACTATTGAAATTGGTGTAGAGGCCAGAAAAAGTTATTTTATGATAAACAGAGGTAGAAAAGTGTTTGTTTGTTTTTTAGTTATGTACAAAGCTACACAAGGGCTATCTGTGCTCTGCCCACCACGGGTATCGAAACCCGGTTTCTAGCATTGTAAGTCCGCAGACATACCGCTGTGCCACTAGTGGGAGGGCGTAAGAAAAGTGTTTACCTCCTTTGGTAATCCTGACATCTAAGAAAGGTAAACAATAATCTTCCTCGAGTTCGGATGTGAACTTGTAATTGGAGTGTTGGGAACTGAGGTAAGAAAGGAACTTAGAAACATGGCTTGATTGTCTAAATAGCAAGAAATAGTAATCACATCCTTGACCACGGCACACGTTTATGTCTAGTTCATCTCTATCCAGATCTCTCGGGATATGGTACAACGCTAGCTATTATAATTGATATAATTATTTATTAAGCAATAACATTTACAACATATTAGATATACAATGATACTACACTGGACAATGTAAAATTGTTGAAACTATGATGACTTAACTTAGCCAATAACCATTAGTACTAATTCAATATAGAATAGTACTGTAGTTGTTGATATAAATCTGAAACGGTGTTTACTATATTAAACATGTAAGCATTAACATATCTCCATGCAGTCACATCATCACCCCCTCTGTCTTAACATCACATGTAGGTGCATTAAAAAAATCATGCAGTCATATCACCACCATCATCGTAATATCATAACATAGTCATCATAAAAAACTCATTCAGTCATACATATCATCGTTACTTCAGTAGTCATGGTTGTAGGAAAAAGTCAATTCTGAAATTTGGTGTAAAGTGTGACTTTCTTGTGTCTTTTTAATGATTACCAGAAGTCACAGGGACTACTATTCATAAACACGAGTTTCTATAACATCACGACGATGCATTTGTAAACATCACATACCACATTGTCAAAAATTACTGGACACTCGTATAAGTACTATGATATTGTTATAAACACCAGTGCTTTATGCTTTATCATAATTATTTAATGAAACATACCTCATGTATGTTGAGTCAGAGTGTCAAGTGAACTATAGTTGGAATGTTAGTTGCACTGGGCTGGCTATGCTTAACAAACTGATGACTGAAAAGTCAACAAACGTTCGCCTTTCGATGTAATTTTCTATCAACTATTTAATTTTCGTTTGTGAATTGTGTATTGCTAATAAAAATAAAAATGTATTTTATAGTGGAAATTAACATTAAGCTATTGTAATATTTGAACATTTGTAATTTTTTTCTTACTTTGGCGAATTTTTCATTGGTTTGAAAACTTGTACTGGTATTTCAACTCTCCCG